ACGGGCGCGCGCTCTGCGGGATTGTTCTTGCCCCGGTTCCGACTCCGGAGCTCTGTAAGAGGCTTGCGTGGTGCCGCGTGCTCCTCGTCGGGCGGGACCCTTGGGCTGCGTCGCGGTTGCGTTTCTAGACGCGCATTTTCTGCTCCTCCCAGTAGGTTGTGGATCTTGGGGAAACCTTGAGCTCTGGAGGCAGAGGCCGTAGGGCTGCTTAGTTCCCTGGAGGCGTGATTGCTTCGTCTCCTTAAAAATGTCGGTAACTCAGGGCCGCTCTGACTTGATGGCCGGGCGGGAGTCCAAGCCCCCTCTGCTAACAGGGGAAACGAAACGAAAGGGGGGTGTTGCCTTCGGCCTTAGCCTCACTGGGTTTCAGGTGCATGTTAGAAATTAGGAGTCGCTCTAACAAGGGCGTATGTAATGCCGACCCTAGGACTTGAGTTTTCCTGTATTTTACTCTCCCTTCTCCCCTCACAAGAACTGTGAATTGGTAGCAGAAGTAAATGACCGTTTAGAAGTTTTACAAACGTTAAATATTGAAATAGTTTGATTCTTGGAGCCAAGGCGAAAGGCAGCACCCTTCTCCCCTAAAAGGGACAATTAAAATAGTTGAATTAAGGGCACAGAAGATACTTGTTTTCCGATTTAGTAATGCATAACTTGGTTCACTGTTGAAAGGTTAACTCCTGACCTGTGCAGAGCTGGTCAGTGCATTTTGCTCAGTTTCCTGTGGGCCTGTGTTATTAGAATCGAGGTTATTACGAAAATGATTGGTTCAGCCCTGTTACGTACTCTCCCAGTTAATGCCCACGGCAGCCCTGAGAAATTGCTACCATTGTTATCCTCATGGTACAGTGAAGAGAACTGAGTTTTAGGGAGGTTGGGCAATTGCCCATTACTTCTTATCTGCTAAGGGGTGGAGCTGGAACTCCGACCGCTTCTTTCTGACTGTTAGAGCTGTGCCACCAACCGCCTCTGATCCAGCCCCTCTGCAGGCGCAGGCTGCTGTCGTCTCCTGCCTGGACCGAGCCAAAGAGAACCATGCAGAAGGACTCCGGGCCACTGTAAGTGCGCAGAGAATGGGAGTGGAATAGCCAGCAGCTTCTCAAAACCAGCGCCTTTTCCCCTCTGAAAAGGGCTCTGAGAGTAGACTGCTGGGGCAGCACTGGGGATGGGAAGGTGGACTTGCAGGCCACAGTTTGAGTCCCAGCTCCACCCCTGACTAGATGTGTGACTTTAGGCTAGTCAACTAACCTCTGGGCTTTATTTTCATTTCTGCAGTGATAGGATTGTTTTGTAATGATGACCTTTTAGTCCCATTCTATGATTGTGGGTCTTTTTGTTTTTTAAAAAACTTGGTTGAAGCTGATTCCTTAACTTTCATTTTCAGAGTGCCTTTACATTGGATTGGCTTCGGCTATGCAGCACTGATTGCCTCTGGTGGGATCATTGGCTATGCAAAAGCAGGTATGGTTTGTAGTTGCTTAACCTCTTAGGATCTTCACATTGCTCGTGGTGAAGAGAGAGTCCCCAGGGTCCCCAAAGTGCAGTCTTATTTGAATCAGGTTTGCTTTTGGCTCTCTAGCTTGAGTTCAGGCTTGTCATTCCTGTAGCAGCTCCTGCACTTGCCTTTGGGTTATCTGGTTGAACTAAGCCAGGCTTCTTATCGAACCACTTGTTTTTGCCTCTTTGTTTAAAGGTGCTGGGCAGGAGTGGTAGCAGATTGTTGTTATCATCAGCTGCCACACATCAGCCTTGACCCCAGAATGCCATCGCTGTGCTCTTTAAGTAGCAGGAAACCTGTAGTTTTCACATACTCATTTTTTGAAGTGTCTTCATTAAATTAGGCAGGGGTGTGTCAGAAAGCCTGCTCATTTCTCACCCTTCCTTATCTGCATCCCCACCCCGACATGCACACACACACCCCAGAATTCTTACTCTCCAAATCTTTTAAACTTACCCTATTTCCTTCTCCTTTTGGGATTTGCCCAAGGTCCTGTCCATGGACAGTTCCAGTCCTTGATGAATTAATCAGGCCTGATTAGGATCCCTTCTTCCTTTTCTTTCTTTCCTTTTTTTTTTTAACATGTTTTTATTTGAGACACAAAAATGCAAAATTGCTGAGATATCGAACATTTTCCGATCCACTACAATACTGCCACTATGTACAAAAGATCTGATGATTTTTGTGAGCACAAAATACAGTATCACCTATGGGTAGTACATGGGTAAAATATATGGCATTCACATGATATGGAATTGATTGCAGGGGTGCAAACAGCAAATACAGAGGCATAGTTTTTTGTTTAAAAAACATAGAGGTGATTCATGAATGGACCCCAAATTGCCATAATTTTTTGTTTCTTAAATGGGTGCTTTAATAAGCAGTAGGAGCCCTTCTTAGGTAGAAGTACTCTCCCTATTAGAGGAGAGAGGAGTGGTGTGGTGTGGTATGATCTGATCCTGACTTCTCTGATAATTTTACCAGAGCTCTTTAGGAAATTCCCGAAAACATTTTTGTGCTTGAGAACTTGGTTGTGAATTGTGTTGTGAGTTCTCTTTGCTGTTGTTGTCAGGAAGGGAAGTCTGATGGATTCTGTTAATGAAATGAATTTTTGACACTACAATACAGGCGTGTTTGTTTTCCTCCAGGTAGTGTCCCATCCCTGGCTGCTGGGCTCCTCTTCGGTGGTTTAGCAGGCCTGGGTGCCTATCAGCTGTCTCAGGATCCGAGGAACATTTGGGTTTTCCTAGGTATGTCAGCTTCACTTCAGAATACTCTACCAAAGGCCCTGGTTTGGTGGGGTGTGTCAGGTTCTTACATTAATAAGTCTCACTGCCTCTGCCAAGTCCTAGGGAAGTTTTTAAATGGTTTCCCTGGTTTCTGCTTACCTCTTATGTACAGAATGTGGAAAGGTTTCATACCTCATGAATTTAGATTTACCTAGTGAAATTAGTATCAAACTTGTGTAAGGCAAGTATATGTCTCTTAACCATTGTGATTGCCCATTAAACACTGTCTTCTTGAGCATCACTAAAGGGTCACGTGTCTGGGTTGTTTTCGTCATTATTGCATTTTTCCCATTTCAGATCATTAGCCCTTTAGCAGTAAGCTGAATTAGTAAGACATAGGGAACCTATACCTTAATTGGAGACATAAAAAGTGCCTTCAGGGAACCTATACCTTAATTGGAGACATAAAAAGTGACTCTGTGGGGCTGCTGACATGCCCTGTGAGCAGCACAGACAGTGAAGAGTGCAGGGAAGGGAAGATTACTTCTTATCAGTGTGGCTTTTGGTACATTTTATTGAGCTCCACCCCCATGTGTCTGAAAGTCTGCTAGGAGTATGGGCTCCTCACTGTCTCCACATACCCACAGTATGAGAGAACATGCAGGGCTAGCCCTTAAAAGGATGGTGGGAGAGCAAGCATGTTAACAGTGGTTTGTGTAAGTCTGCCTGCGCTGGGAAGGGGAGTCAGCGATAGCTGGTTTGGGGTGTGCTGGGGAAGAAGGAGGCGCCCAGCTCTCAGCACTGTCTAATAGCTCCCTCGCGCAAGCTCCAGAATGACTTTCAGACCTGTTTTCCCATCTGTGATCCCGCTTCACTCTAACAAATGCCCCTCATTGCCTGTGTGAAGAAAATAACAGCCATCACATGGGCCTCCGAGCTTCGTGCCATTGAGCTCCAGTCCTTCCCTTGTCCTGTTTCTCTCCTCTCCCAGGCCAGTCCCTTCTCCCCTGCTTTGGGTCTCTTCTTCCATACCTTCTTGGAGCTTTACACTGTCACAGATGCCATCTCTTACTTGTATTTCACCTTTCACATGGATTCCTCTTATGCTCAAATGTGCTCATCTCACCCATTTTTTCATAAAGGACCTCTCGTGACACTACTTCCTTCTCCAGTTGCTGCCTTTCTTCCCCTTCAGAAACTTCTCTAAAAAAATTTGTCATGCTTCCTGTCTTGGTTTTCACACCTCATACATCCTTGACCAACTTTAGTCCCCGTTTTGATCCCTTTTGTCCATGGAAATACGTAGCTCTCCGAGGCTGCCAGTGACTTGTATTTTTCAAAACCCAGTGTACATTTATTAGTCCACATTTAGCTTGGCCTGCGGGCTGCTCTTGGCACAGTATGTGAATCCACTCTCACTCCCCTGGTTTTCCTTTTTATTTCCTCATTCTCTTTTGTTGACCATTAAGTAAGTATTAAAGTACTTAAGGCCTGGCTTTTTTTTTTTTAAATCTTCTTTATACTTTCTTGCATGACAACGTCATTGAAGCCCAGGCCTTACATTGATACACCAATGACTCACAAATCTCTCTCTCTTCCAAGCTTTACACTTAAACGTACAGTTGTCTGCTTGAAATCTAGATGTCTCAGGGCCTGACTTCATGTGCTCACACACAGTCTCTCTCGGTGTTCTCCATCCATTCGGGTCCTGATTGCACTCTTCCCCTCCACCTTTCTAACTCATCAGCAAGTCCTATCAGCGCTCCTTGCAACACACCCTAAGTTGTTGTCTTCTCTATCTCTACGGCTACCCCAGTCGCCCCTCTCTTTTCCCTACATTCCTGAGGACCTTTCTTAATTGGTACCCCTACATGCTCCAGTTTCCCTGCAGTTTGTCCTCGTGGTGCAGGATGACTGGGCCCAGACTGGGAAGGCCTTATATTCTAGTGTTTGTGCTTAGGCTCCTAGGATGTGGGTGGTAATGAAGCTCCCTAACTTGGGAGGTATGAGATGGGGTATGGCCCTTGAAAGATGGGTGGGACTTTGGTCACTTATTTTATTTCTCCCAAATATAAGGTGTAGTGATCTTTGCCTCTTTCTTTTTCCCATCAGCTACATCTGGAACCTTGGCTGGCATTATGGGAATGAGATTCTACTACTCTAGGAAATTTATGCCTGCAGGCTTAATTGCAGGTGCCAGGTACTGTTTCTTCTATTGCTGTTCCTCACAGGTGTAGATTTTAGTTTAATGCCCATAATATGTACACCCACAGATTTACTTGTTTCACTATACCTGATGCTGGACATCAACTAAAATGATTTAACTTATACATAAATAGGAGAGGTTGCAAAAACAGTAGCTGATTTAATGGCAAAGTGAAATAAATATACTCACTCACTTTGGAAAAGCTTGCTCTCACATTTGCTCTCTGGTCCATCCTGGCTCCTGCCTCCAGAAGCAGCAGCCTCAGTGCAGAGCCGTGACTGCAGCTCATTCAGTGTGGGCCCTTATTTCTTAGTTGTATGAGTGCCCCTAATTATCGAAAAATTTGATAGAAGGGAATTTCTGTTGATTCGTTTTCTAATTAGCTGATTATAAAATCCAAACCAGATTTTTTTTTAAATGTAGTCCTTATCCCAGAATAACAGACCCTGAAGGTAGGGGAATTTTAGAAAATCTGTTTTGGGAAAGGATTACTTATGATTTTGGTCATCGTTATGATTCTGTCCAGCAAGATGTTCTATAGTCAGTGCAGACCAAGGTCGAGAGCAGTAAACTGGGAGGCTGCAGATCCACCATTAGTTAGTTCTGTGACCATGGGGAGGCCTTGGTCTTTCCAGCCTGCAATTTCCTCACCTCTGAATTACTGGCAGTGAGATTAGGAACACCGGCTCGTATGTACTGCTTTAAGGCCTCAGCACAAGACTTCCCCTTGGCATGTTTTTTCTTTGGTGCCCCCAGGGATGGAAGTTCCATCTCTGCCTGCCCTGCCTTGGTACCTGCTCACTGTGCAGTGAGAGACCTGCAGAGTCCTAATCCTTTTAAAAAAAAAAATAGTCAAGTGCCTGTTCTGTCCCTTACCTGACATTTTTGTTTTTGTGTTGTTGTTTTTAACAGTTTGCTGATGGTCGCCAAAATTGGAATTAGTGTGTTCAACAGACCCCATCAGTAATAGTCACGTCCCCGCTTGGACTCATGAAGAATTTTAAAACTTCCACTATTTTTAGTATATTGGGAGAAATAAATGCAGCATTTTCACATATACTGACATTTTACTTTAAAAAGAAAAGATACTGAACTTTGCAGAGAAAAATATCAGTCATCATTATTACGACTCTAAAGGGGTGGGTAGCATATAACATAAGAGCTTATTATAATACCCTCGTATAATTTGGTTCTTGTATGTTAATACTCTTTCTTTTTGTATTTTTACATAAAGTCTCAAGGGGTAAAATGTTGTCAACATTGGGGTCCCTGAAACCTCATACCCTACCTACTAGGAGGAACAGTGTGAAAAAAAAATCTCATGAGATTTAGGGTATCTGTTCTTTTGCTCATCTTAGAGCACAGACCTACTTTGACATTATATTAAATGAAATAATCAATGAAAATAAAGTTTCTATTAATAATATTTTCTATGGTGTCTTCATTGCCAGAGTTGTCTGGAACATAAAACGAGATGTGAATAGTAGGAAGATAGAGTAAAACAAAAGATTTTAAAATACTTTATGTAGGGATAACCCATTTTGAAAAATGTAAGGACCAAGGGAAGTTGTTACTTGATTACACATTGCCTTGAAGCTGGTTTTAAAAATGATCTGTAGTGAGAGTTTCTAAGATTAGGACTGTAATCAAAAGAAAAAAATGAAATTTTGGTTAACTAGTTAATCTATAAATGTGAAACTAAAAGGCCTATCTGAAACTTGAATTACGGAGTCTCTACTTTGGACACTAACTGGATACTGACACATTTTCACTTCACTGTTTGTTTTGGCATTGAGAATTAACTCATTCTGGGCTCCTTACTTAAGTTTAGCTCTCTGTAAAAATGAAGGGGTATTTGCTACTTACCTTCCACCTAACTGGTATTGGTTGAATGTAGAGTATAATTTAGTCACCTGTTAATTTTATATATTTGCTTAAGCTCCTTGAAAGGAGGCCTAGTTTTCTCATCTTTGTTTTATCTGACATGCCTGCCAGGCCCGTGTTTAAAGTATAATGCCCAGGACTCTACACAAGGGGGTGCACTGTATTCTAGACCAGGCATTCCTGTTAATGCAACCAGGGTCAAAATAAGGCTTTTTGGCAGCCCCATCACAGCAATGACTCATTCAGCTTTTGGTCTTTTTCTTACATACTGCTGTTAATAACTACTCATAGGTAGGGAAAGGTCAGTGCCTGATGTCACATACTTGTAAATACTTAAATAAAATTTTTTCCATAGTTCCTGGCATACGGATTACATTTTATCACATAATTATACCAAATTCATGGTTTAAGTGATAAAGACAAACATTTACAAATGGTTGGTTGATATGTGGTGTGACATTAGTCCTGTATAGTCTCGGGAAATGGATGAAGAAAATCAAATAGGACATTTTGTTATCTTTTTGATATGGTTGGTTCTGGTACTGGGCATACAAGATGAGCTTGGAGCATCTTATGGGGTTAGAAAGTAAGGAAGTTCTGAGAAAACAAAAAACAAGCAAAAAAGTCTACACTGATGGGCTATGTCAAACGAACACAGGAGCCAAACTGAAAGAGCTCCCAATCAAAAACAGCAACAATTTGAGCAAGAAAATCAACAGAGAACTAGTGGATTATAACCCAAAGTAGAAAAGGGGAAACTGAAGTAAATAAAAGGATTAGTGGCCGCCAGAGGTTTGAGGGGAGAGGGAAGGGTGAATGGATGGAGCACGGGATTTTTAGGGCGGTGAAACTATTCTGTATAGTACTGTACAGTAGATACGTGTCATACATTTTTGTCAAAACCCATAGAATGTACAACACAAAGCTTGCACCCGAATGTAAACTATGGGCTTTAGTTAATAATGTATCAGTATCGGTTCATCAGTTGTAACAAATGTCACATACTAATGCAAGATGTTAATAGGGGAAATTTGAGGAGGGAATATATATATGGAAATTCTGTACTTTCCAATCAATTTTTCCATAAACACAAAACTGTTAAAAAAAAACAAAAAACACCAAGGCTAACTAACTTAAACAACATAGAGACCTCAGAGTAAAGGTATAAAGTTGAAAAATGTAAAGAAAAGACACTAGTTAACCATATTAATTTTAATGTCTATTAAGAGTTTAAAACAGTCCCAGCAAAATAATTTTTTAGCTTTGAGACAGTAATTAAAACTGTACAAATGTAACCATTACCACCAACATAAATTATTCTTTAGATTTTAACATTTCTCAACAAGGAGAGCTGAGTCTTCTATATAAAAATACCATATTATTACTATAATGTGCCTTTGGATAGTGTTCACAGGATGATACCAATTACATTAACATTTACTTACAGTCATAAAATTATCAGTTGATAACATTACTCTTAAAGGAATACACAGTACTAATGTCCAGTCCATAAAATGGCAGGTTTAAATAAAGTTGCCATAAGTTCAAAATGTCTATTTTAAATACCAATTTAGAAATAAAACTAAGACAAAAATGTACTAAGTGAAATCACTGCTAAAGCATCTGAATGCACTCGCTCTTCAGAGCACATGTGAAGGTCAGAGGCGAGCAGTGATCAGCAGTGAGAGCTTGCTTTGGGGAACCCAGCTGATGCCCCTCATCCTTGTGTCCAGTAGGAACACAGAAACAAACGTATTTTGAAAGTCTGATGAACACACATCAGAGTTTAAGAACTTTCTGGATGTGAACATGGGAGAACCTTGGCTTGGTTTCTTTGGGAGTCATCAAGCCGCTGGGTCTGATAGTTACCATGAATTCAAAGTAGCTGTATTGGTCAAAATTAAACAGTAGGCTCTTTTCCCACTAAAATCAGATTGCGTAATTTTGAAGTCTCCATGTTAAAGATAAGTTTATTTCTAAGAAAGACATCCTGCTCAGGACTGGCATTTTCATTGCTTCCATAATTTCAAAGTAAAAAAACGATGTTACCATTTTTCTGCCATTGTCAAAGGGGTAGAGCAGAGGGCTGGCCAATTAGACCTATAACTGACAGCCCCAACGCTGTGGTCTACCGGCTATAAAAAACAAAAACACAACAAACCTCTGAGGCCAAATGATGAAATAGTAAGTAGTTTAGGCAAATATACGACACATGAAAACTAAACACTTCCGGAGGCATATTTTTTCCCCCAAAGCTTCTTGTATTGGTATCTATTAATGTGTACATCAAGTATTTGACATTTTGGCAAATAGTTTATTCAATACTCTGTAAAGTCCTACCCATATAGCTGTCCTACCCATATGTGGGCACCAAAGCCAAGAAATGCATTTCATTTCTAGGAAAGAAAATAAAAGGTGATTTTGGTCTTCAAAGTACCACTATTCCATAGTTCTTCCAGAACTTGGTAGAAGTAGACATCTGTAGGCACTTCCCAGGGTCCGAGGACTCTCTGGGCAATGTGATGGGGCTTCACACCAGACTCCTACCGGTGGCCTCCATACTTGGCCACCCAGTCTGTTCTCCCGTGCACTGGGGGAACTGGCTGTGTACGGTTCACAATGTTTAGGTTCTTGGCTGTAGGATTATAAGTAGGTCCTGAAAATTGCCCCCGATCAGTTTTTGTGTTCCAGGTATATTCTGAAAGAAATCAGAATCAGAAATTAGACTCTTTTATTTGATAATGAAATTCAAAATAAAGCGATTCATCCTCTCACTTTGGGGGAAAATTTAAATTTATCTTTAAAAGATTAATTCAGTGGTCTCTAAGGGGTTTTGAAATACTAAAACTAAAAATTCTAGTGGAGTGTTTTGCTGACCCCAGTTAGAATTTTCAGTAGCCTCAGAGCCGTTATTTCTGGTTCACAGTTCTGATCCTGCTGCTCTCTTTCTTGGGTTGCGAAATGCCCATCACAGTTAGACAGGTGACACCCAACTAGGGTGACCAAGTTCAGGTTCAGTGAGCAACACCCACAGTTAGGGACTTTGTAAAATTACACTGTGGTAACATCTAAATAACCTGCACACACAGTATGAACACAGAAAGTTTTCAGAACTGTGACTCCCGTAAAGCTCTGGCTTCGTGCAGCTACATATTAGATTTCTTTTTAAACATTAAAGTGTGGTTTTTAGAGTCAAAAAACTGAACTTCCATTGGGAAAGGATGGATGGTAACGGAGCCCCTCCAAGTGCTGAGCCACTCCTCGGGTCCCAAACCTTCTGTCACAAGATCTGTTTTGTTCTTACATTTGGCTGAGCAAAATTTTGTGAAATTTTAAGTCGTTAACATTTGTTATCTGAACAATTTATGTTAACGTTGCTTGAGCATCTCAAATGATAAAGCAGTAAATCATTTTACAGAGAACTTCAGTATCTTCAGTCCCTCCTTCACCCCTCCTCGCTTCAAACTGCGAGCCGAGCCGCTGGGTGTCAGGGGTTCTGCCTGAGGAGGGTTGTTTGATCTTCCCGTGGGGGAGCTAAGTGTCTTTTCACACTGTGTGGCAGCTGTCATTCCTGGATTAAACTCTGAGTCGATTTTGAAGTGAGCCTGACCATTCTGTACACCCAGCATAAACAGGTGTACTCTACCTGGGTGGTGTCCCTGTTTTTCTTTATACTTTCACTGTAAAATTGGGAACGTAGGAGGAACTTATGGGAGCCTGTGGTCCTGATGTGCTGCTAACCTTGGCTTAAAGGGGACAAAGCATTAAATGAGCCACCCTGGTGACAATCACTGCTGTGTAGTCTGGTTGGGACAGAGTCCAAGAGCCCTCCCCTCTGTGGTTTGACAGGTCATTTCATTCTACTCTTAACTCCTTTTGAAATTCTCAAAGCTACCTGGCAAAGACAGGGACAAGGTATCGAGAAGGCACTTAAGTGCATCTTGGTGTCCAGGTGCAGCCCTAGTTCCGAGCCCCCGGAGCACAGACCAGCATCTGTCTGCTCAGTGAGGGAGCCCCCTGAGGCCCGCAGGCCACAGTGGTGCCATGGGAGAGGAGAGCATGTGAAGGGGTGGGAGTGCAGGGAGGAAGGAAAGAGGCCATGAGCCCAGGTGATTCAGAGAAGGGGAGAGGGACCCATTCCTAAGCTGACACTGGTGGGCAGAGAGGGGCTTAGGGAGTAAAAATCAGACAAGCTTTTTTCCAGGTCCTGACAGCTGAAGTTGGGTCCTCAATGCATTTGAAGGAAAGTGTGTCCAGGCCGAGACCTGTAAAACCTTTGGAGAAGGAATCATTTTGCCAAGAAGGCAAATGTTGACATTTAGGATTCCTTTCTGAGAAGTAATAGTTTTAGGACTCGGGCACCACTGACAAAGGAGCCCAGATCTCCGGGCAGGGCGAAACACGCCTTTGGTGCCTTAGCTGGGCCACACCCTGCCCCTCACCCCTCCGGCAGCCCTAATCCCTGCTGTGCATTTATTTTAAAAATTGCATGTGTCCTTTCAAGGGCATTTCACTTGCTGTACAAAATATCTGCCGAAGGGA